TCCTGATAAAGTAAATCTGGTTCTTGCTGCACTATCAATAAACTTTTCAAAACCCCTTTGTGTTCAAAAGAGTCCATAAGGTGAATCATATTCCTGAAATTTCTGATCACAATCTCTTAATACCTAGTTGCGGCTGTCCTTTTTTATCTTTTTCCTTATCAAATGTCTATCTGGTGATCATTATCATAGAACCACCATAGCAGCCTAGGACTTCATTATATTCATTCTAACTCAATAAACTGAGCTGAGGCATAGAATTCTGCATTTTTAATAAACAACCTACATGATTCTGAAATAGTGGGTGTTTGACATTTTGACAAATACAAACATCTATTCCTCTCATTTCTAGTCCTCTATCTTCTTTCCTTGCTTATTTATATCACCCAGAAATTTCTATGCTTCTTCTATCTGAGGACTCCTCCTGTCTTTTCCTCAGTTCAGAAAAATTCTTATCTATGAGGTCTGTGTTTCTCCCATATGTCTTTATTCTGTGGAACTAGAGCCCTGCTTCTGACTCTTAACTCTCTAGCTGGGCCCCATATGCAGCGAGATCTTCCTGAGGCAAACCATCTACCCAAATTGCCCCTTTCCACTGTTTATGATGTGCTCCCCTTATAATCAGGAACATCTGATTGCCAATTTCTGGACTTCTTCCAAGATGAACTACCTCCCTGGGCTTCTTCCCATCAACTTCTGGTGCCTATCCCATCCCCTGCCCTATACATTGAATCCAGCTAATCTCTGGGGCCAGTCATCTCCAGCTTGGCTCTTTAATAATGACATCAACAAAAAATCTTCTGTTCAATCCTTATAAGCTCTAAAGTCCAACACTGCAGCTCATTTTACGAACAAGGAGAATTAATAATAAGAGAAAGACCCTAGAAAGCAAAGGTAGTAGGTTATAGTGAACTGTCATACACATAAAAAAAGCTCACTCTCACTAGTTCCCATTCATTCTACAAATATGGATTGAATACTTCCTGCAAATAAGACACTACACTAGGCACAGGATAAATCAATGATCAAAAGAGACAAACTTCCCTGTGCTCAACAAATGTGGATTCTAATGATAGAGACAGATAATAAACAATTAAATGAGCAAATATTTAGTATGATGGTGCTCCGAATTTAAAAAAAAAAAAAGTGTATAAGGAATGGCAAGGAAAATAATGGGAATAAAGTAAAAGATTGAATTTTACATAGGACAGCCAGAGAAGGTGCAGTGGTAAGATGACATGTGAGCAAAGACATGATGGAATTGAGGGTGAGGCTACGTTGATATTAGAGGAAAGAATTTTCTAGTCATAGGAAAGAACAAGTACAAAAGTTCCCAAGGAAACCATGTGTTTAGTGACTGAGGAACAGCAAAGGAGACCAATGTGACTGGGATGAAGTAAGAAGTGAGTAGATAGAGATCAGATCATAGAGGCAGAAGGGGCCAGATTATACAGAAACCCATCAGCCACTGCAAGGACTTTTGATATTATTCTGAGTGTGTGGGGAACTCCCAAAAGGTTTTCAGCCAGAGGATGATACAATCTAACATAGTTGAGCAAGATTCTCTGGTGTGAGTGTAAGATATGGCTGAAATGTGAGCGTAGATGGAAGCAGGAAGACCAATTAGTAGGATATGGCAAATATCCAGAAGGGAGATAATGGTGACTTATACCAGAGTGCTGGCAGTGGTGGTGGTAAAAATAGTAAAATTCAACATATTTTCAAGATAGAATCAGCTAGATCTAATAATGGATTAAATATGGGGTATGAGAAAAAGAGAAAAGTCAAGATAATTCCAAATTTTAGCTTATGCAATCTACTAACGGCTAAAATTGCCATTTATGTAGTTTAGAAGTCTAGTGGAGAAGCAGAATTGAGTGCCAAAAAAGAATTCAGGCTCTTTTTTAGCACTGCCTACAGAGGTGGCCGCCATCTCCTGTTCGGCATCATAGGTGTGCTCAGGCCCCTCATGAAGCCAAAGACTGTCGGAAAGAAGACCAAGAAATTCATCCAGCACTGGTTAATCAAAATTAAGTGCAACTGGCAGAAACCCACATGCATTGACAGTAGTGTGCACAGAAGATTCAAGGGCCAGATCCTGATGCCCAACATTGGTTATGGGAATAACAAGAAAACAAAACACATGCTGCCCAGTGGCTTTCAGAAGTTCCTGGTCCACAATGTCAAGGAGCTTGAAGTGCCGCTGGCGTGGAACAAATCTTACTGTGCTGAGACGGCTCACAATGGCTCCTCAAAGAACCGCAAAGCCATTGTAGGAAAAGCAGCCCAGCCGGCCATTGGGGTCACCAATCCCAATGCCAGGCAGCGCAGCAAAGAAAATGAATAAGCAGTCCGTATGCACGTTGCGTTGGTGTTAATAAAACCATAAACTTCTGTCAAAAAAAAATAATTCAGTTGGGACATATTATTTGAGATAACTATTTGAAATACAGATGGGGCTATCTATGAGCATTTGGGTTTAGAATCCGGATTCTAAAGATACTTTTAGAGCTACTGTTGTATGCCGACATTCTTTAAGCTCTGGGAATACAAAAGATATCGTGTGACTTAACCATCTACTTCTCCTCTTAGCTGCAGTCATTAAAAACGTCTAGTTCTCTGTGAATTATTCAGAGAAGATTTTGATATCTGTTTTACAGCCTTAACCTCTACCTCATATTTGCTTATAGGACAAGTTTTCTTTCGTCTAGGGGAAAGATAAGAAGGCAGCTGACCTGGTCTAAATTCCTTTCAGCTGGATTTCTGGGTAAATATATTAATTAGATCTGTTAGTAGAATGAGTCCTTATGTATGCAGTGGCCTAGCAGGATGATTAAAGATTACTTACAGTAAATAAATCTAAAAGCAATGTATCTTTGAAGCATGTTTGTCTGAGAATGTCAGGTAATCTGCATAACTATTAGCATTATAAAATAATGCTAATTGTTAAATGCTCTGTGCTGTATAATGTAATAACTCACCAAACTTATTAGGTACCTTCATCTATTATTCTGAACCAGAGAGCACATGGCCAATGAAAGAAGGGCCAGTGTAACCATATAGAATGTCTCAGAGCTCTCATTTGTTTTTGCCTGTTCATTGCCTATATTCTTGAATTATTTGGGAAGCTGGACACTGAGTATAATATCTAATATGTATGAGTCCGACTCGACAATCTAATCCTGATGTTAGCTAAGGCTTTCTTCCCCATCTTTTCATCATCCACTGAAAAAAAAAACAAAAACAAAAATAAAAACAAAAAACAAACAAACAAAAACCCCCCACTAAATTTATCAGTTACCACCTTGTTGCCAAATATAGTCATCTTACTTGGCCTCTCCTTTTTATTCAGCACTGATGACCACTCCTTTCTGTCGAAAACAGGCTTTTTCCTTGATCTCTCTGCCACCAAATATAAAAGGTTGAGTTACTGCTTTCAGGACTTCACTCTGCCTGGTGTGCAAATCTTTGTTATGGTGTTAACTTGGGCAGAGGATACTTCCATACCCCTTGACTTTGGGTTTGTCTAAGTGACTACTTTGGCCTATGGAATAAGTTGGAAGTAGCAATGCACCAATTCCAAGGCTAGGTGATTTATTCTATTGTACCTCTGTCAAGAAAAACATGCTCCAGTTGGACCAGGTTTAGGAGTATGAGACATAAATAAAGCAGAACCTCACTAACCAATTTAAAGATCTACTTTCAAAAGCAGAGCCACTATAGCCACCAAAGTTTAAAGCATGGCTCTCCAGCTAAGTATAGTCCAGCCACCCCATGAACTTAAATGATTGTTCTTTTAAGCCACTGAGTTTGGGGTGGTATGTGTATTTGTTTGCAAAACACCACAGGCTGGCTGGCTTAAACACCAACAATTAATTTTCTTACAGTTTTGGAGGCTAGAAGTCCAAGAGAAACGTGTTGGAAGGTTTGGCCTCTCTCCTAGCCTTGTAAACAGTTGCCTTTTTGCTGTGTCTTCGCATGGCCTTTTCCTTGTGCACACACATCGCTGATGTCTATGTGTCCAAATTTCCTTTACTTATACGGACACCAATAACAACCTCATCTTAATTTAATCTCCTCTTTAAAGGCCCTATCTTGAAATACCCTCACTAAAATATCTGATATTCTGAGATACTAAGAGTTACGACTTCAACAAAATAATTTTAGGAGGACACAATTCAGCCTGTAATAATATGTTACACAGTATTATTTTAGCAATGGCTGACCGATATACCATAATCATCTGGCTTCTTCCTAGTTCTCTGAACTTTTCTTCTATTTCTTCTATTTAGCCATTAGATATAAGAGACTTCAAGACTCAACCCTAGGCCTTCTTCTTACTCTATACTTTATTTCCAGTCCAGGTTTTCAACAAGAGAAAGTTTTTTCCCAGGCCCTCAAACATACTCCCAATTCTCCCAAAGACATCTGGCAATATCTGGAGACATTTTTGCTTTTGACATCTGGGAAGGAAATGCTACTGACATCTAGAAAGTAGAACCAAGGATTCTACTCTACATCCTACAACGCATAAGACAATCTCTTACAACAAAAACTGATGTAGTCCAAATGTCAGTGGTGCTGAGGTTGAAAAACTCTGTTCTATGCAACCACATCTAAATTCTAGGCTCCATGCCATTGGCACCAAATTCACATCTCTATCCCTGATATGAGTTTCAGACACATATATCAAATTTTATCTCTCTTATTTAAAGGCTTCAAAGGCACCTCAAACTCAGATTATCCTAAAACAAACTTGTGGTTTTTCCTTCCTTCCTTGACTCTCTAACTTGGTATTTTATCTCAGTAAATGGTACTCACCCAGAAACTCAGGAGCCACCCTTAATACCTCCCTTTCTTCCAACCTATGCAGTCCATCACCATAAGTTAATCATTTACTTTCTGAATATATCTTTTGCTTATCTATGCCTTTTCATCTCCCTTAATATCATATTCCCTGCTTCGAGCTGTCATCTGTCTCACCCTTGGAATGGTGTCATCCACTTTTCCAATTAGCAATCAATTAATTTTTTCAAAATATTGAGCATTTCCTTTATAAAATATAAACATAACATACCCCTGTGTCAAAACAAAGATAAAGAACATCCCCCATTGCTCTTAAAGATTAAAATCTTTAACTTGAACTGTAAGTAAAATATCCATAAAATGTATTGTCAAAACCAGGACATTTTAAAGAGGTGTGTGTGTGTGTGTGTGTGTGTGTGTTAGGGGAGAGAGGGTATTAAAAATTATCCCACAGCAAATATAAACAGGGACTGTTCCAGGCCATTTGGGGTGCCCTGTCAATAAGACCTGCGCTGCTCTGGTCCCCACCTGGTTCTCAAAGTTTATCTCATATTGTCTTCCTCTCTCTTTTGATTTGCCAGACAGGTTTCATTTTGTACCATATTGCCTTCTATTTGCCTCCTATGTGCCACCTTTTCTTCTACCACAATGTCTTTGCATGCGTTTTTCACTCTGTACAAAAAGTTCCCACTCCTCACTCCAAAATTAGTAATTCCCTCATTCTTTAGTTATACCTGAAATGTTTCTGTTGTTTGTCCTAACTCTTCAAACAACAAAAGCTCTCCCTTTTATACACTCTCACATCACTATGTATATTTCCTTCAAAGCACAGATACAGTCCTAATCTTGGGTTTTATTATGTCATTTCGATTTTTTGTTTGCTTTTTTGTTTGTTTGTTTGTTAGTTAATACTTGGACTATGACATTTATAAGATATATCTTACTGTCCTTCAAAGATACTTGGTGATGAAATAGTTGAATTACCCATTATCTTTGCCAAAGCACGTAGCAAGTATAAAGAAAACCAGGTCAAATATTCCAGATGTGCACTTAAATACAGTACTGCAACGTATTGCTGCTTCTTACATTTACATAGATATGAAAATAGACTCCTCAGTAGACTGTTTATCATCCTTGGAATGCATATATCTGGGAGGTAGTATTCCAGCAGGACCCAAATTCTGTGCATATTTCAACAGTAACGTAATGAAAGAAAAATAAAACATGCTCCATTTGTGAAATGCAAGCACCAGTCCTTAAGAGGAAACCTGAAGATGTTCAGTATTAAGACAGTACGTAGTTAGATTTTTTCCTAAGCGGTTAAAGATTCCTAACTAATTATAAATTATAACTAATTATAACCACCCCTTTATACAAAACTTTTTCTAATTAAAACAACGTTATGATACAATCCAACAGAATTTCAAATTATCATCAAAATATTGAAGAAACTTGCATATAATCGATAAGCACATAGGCTTGTATATTAATGAAATCATTTGCAATTTGTTTCTAAAAATTTCTGATATTTTTGAGGGTTTTATATACCAATTAACTAAACTAGGCCTAGACCTTCTTCATTTAATATCAAATACCACGCACATTCCTCTTCTGTTACACTGCAATTATTTTGGCATTCGGCATGTCTCTAATGGAAAAAGAGCTTCCGCAGAGGAATTTCTCCTTTGTCTTTAATAATGAGCAGCAGATTGTTGATTAAGTAACATAATTAAAGCTTTTATTAGAGCAGCCTGATACAGGTTTGTTTTTCTTCCAAGACATAAGAACGCGATTCGATTAAAAAACGCACCACTTCCACAGTTCCTTCCTCCAGCTTCTCCTCGTACTGCTGATGTTTGAAAACACCAAGCAGAGACGTTTGCTGTTTCTAAATAAATGTGAGAATTTCTTGAAATTATCTAATGTAAAAATATGTTCAATTTTTATCTTCGCTAAGTAGGTCCATTTTCAAGTAGAAAGGTGTACTAGTCTGCAGTCGTGTCTAAATAATTGAGTTCCAGTCACTAAACTTCAGTATTTGGCCCGGTTAGTATCAGCGGTGTGTTTTACAGCTGTCCAAAACTTCGACGTGGTGATTTTAAATGCAAAGGAAATAGCAGTGAAAGCAGACATTGACAGTGAGTGCCGAGAGCTTTCGCACTGTCTACACAACTAGCATTTATTTCTTTAAAGATTTTTTTGTTCGTCTTGCAAAATGCCAAAAGCACGCCTTTTAATTTAGAGTAATTTAATTTAATTTCTAACATTTTACCACAAATGGCTTTAAAAATAAAAGGAACAAAGTAATTACATTTAATTTCATGGTTTTAGATTCCTAAAAGCCATCATATTCTCTTGTGTAATTGAAGACTTCCATTAAGGGGGAAGGAAAAAAAAATATGAAACTTTTGCCCTTCTCTTGAAATAAAAACAGAAAGAATTAATGTTGCCATTACATCGAATATTTACTAGGAAAGAGGTCTGTGGTGATTTTCTGCTGCCTAGAAATGTAGAAATCATCCAAAATAAAGAGTGGGTCTT